TAGCCCTTTTGATCTTGGAAAAAAACCCTTGGAAAAGTGGGGAAAAGACAGGGACATTTCTCGTCCCTGCAAGACCCCTTTTTTTCCAAGGGTTAAAGACTAACGACCCGCTTTAACATTTGGTTGCGGGCATTTTGAGTCTTTTCAAAACACAACTACCGGCGGTAAGAATTAAATGAAGGTGAACGCAAAATCCCAGGAACTATCGGAACTATTCCCTGGGAAAAGTACTCCGGTGTGAAAGCGCCTAGTGGTGCTCTAGGAGGAGATTCAGGTGATAAGAGGGGGGAGGGGGTTACCTTGGTTGGTGATTGGCTAATGGTTACACAAGCCAAAAAATCGTTATGACATCATAAAGTGGCCAAAATCGGATCAGCTCATTCTCAGACAGGTTTTTATAGAAATGGATCAGGACAAAAAGTGAGAGAATCTTTGTTCCTGAAACTTTCAGAGTCTCTCTACACAGAGGGGACACATGTTGATGTAGAAGAGACATGAAGAAGTGTATTCTGCATAATAGGTCGCCTTTAATAAGAGCATAGGTTTTGTTAACATTGAAAACACAATATCCCTTGTAAATTAAATGCAAGAATATGTCAGCATCGGTTACAAAATGAGTAAACCGCACTCCTAAGAGAGAAGGACTTTACTCCACTTGGATTTCCAGTTGGAACGGAGGCCGAGTGTGATTATTTATCCAGCCGATAAGCAGAATAAGTCAGCTGACTTTACCTTGTTAGTGGTGTAGCTGTCCCACACGATCAGTTTTCCATCTTGAGAGGCACTAACCAGAAGCCTGTGGAGAGCAAACATACCTTATCTGTCAAAGGACATATAACACTGTTGACTCTCAGTTAAAACACCTGTCTTCCACATTGACAAGTCCACTAGTACAGCCAAAATGTAGAAAGATGGAAAGGTTTACCGTATGTATTTCAGCACCGATCATGGGCAGGTTAGCCTCTTTTTGTGTGTGTTTGTGGCCTTTGTGGTTGTTTCCTTTGGCTGTCTTTGCAGCTGTTCTCTTTTTATATTTTTTTGTAGTTTCTTTTAGGTCATTTTGAGTCTCTTCCCGGTTGGTACATGTCTCTCTCTCAAGACATTGTGTGGGTAAAGGCCACACAATGCCTAACAACAGCTTTTGTGTTATCTTAAAGGTGGGGTAGGTAATTTTGCAGAAACCAGCTCGAGTGCGCTATAATTTGAAAATACACAGCCGGAAAACATCTGCCACTTCCTTACAGAGCCCCTCCTCCAACACACACGAACGCGCACATGACCAATGAGGACACGAGATAAGTTTGCGCACAGATGGAAGGCTGACAGGCAGGTAGGCCATCCAGTTATTTTAGCCGGGCCGGCTAAAATGATTGGTCGTGCTTTTTACAGTACTACGGCTTCCAGAGATGACATTTTTGTATGGATTTTTTGTCAAAGCACTTCAGATATTCATTGCTATCGGGATGTTAAGAGCATTCCATGGAATATAACAAAAAGTGTATCTCGAGCCGGTTTCTCAAACTTACCTACCCCACCTTTAAGTGTAGTGTATAGTACTGAACCTAAAACTGCTACAAACATGTTAAAAAACCATCACTTGGAGCTAAATGCTAATATTATCTGTCTAATGATAATTCCAAAATGCTGAATCAGGTGTAATATTTACCATTTTCACCATTCAGTGTGTGTTAGCATGCTAACATTAGCTAATTAGCACAAAGAACAGTGTGAACAGGCAAAGACTTCGCTTAGATTTAGCTTAGACTAACACTTTTAGGCACAGCTAGTTTAGGCTACAGTTCAGTAAGGTTATTAAATGAAGTATTGTTTCTCTGTTGTATATTTAAATTTATTATAAACGTATAGTTGAATATGTTCTGTATAGTATGGACTTACTTTGAGTCAGTGCCCCAGTGCATGGCATAGATCTTAGCGAGATGGCCTCGGAGGGTGCGCCTCGTCCGCATCTGGATCCGCCCCACAGGATCCAGACCAGCAGTTATCTGGGTTAGAGAGCAGAGGTTAATCAAACAATTACACCTTCACCCTCTATCCTTTTTTAATTGATAATTGAGTTCCAAGGTCCAGAGTGAAACTTGGGATTCTAACAAAATGGTGAAAACCTGAGGACAAAACCCCGCACAGGGACATCAAGAAAGTCATACCAAGTTAGATGATATGAATGCATAGAAATGTAAAAACGAATGTTATAAATGAATGGTTAAACCTCATGTTACTCTGGTGATAATGTGGGTGGGAGCCGGTATAAATAACAATAACTCATCATGTATTTTTTACAAATTGTGCATGCCAAATTCAATAGCGTACAATTTTTTTAACCTTCAAGGTCTTTAAAACCAAATGTAGTTTTACCTTTGGTTTAAGGTATCATGTTTCCATACTAATGGTCACCAAACCAATGGTTATCACTAAAATCAAGCTTCCCTTAAACATGTATAGATATTCATGATAGCTGGATCATTTGCACTTACCTGTGTCAGGGTTGAGTCTCCACATGCTTTCCTGGCATCCTAATAGACAAGGGATCATAGGATGAAACAAATACATTTCAAACCATGTGAATATATCAGCATTATCTATACTAACATTAAAAACTGTAAAAACATTTGATTTACTCGTATCTGGTTCCTAAGCTGCTCAGCCTCCTGGCGAAGTTGCTCCAACTCACTCATCTTGGATTTTTCAAGCTGTCACCTGTTAGTGGGAAGAGTTCAAATATCAGACTCTGATATACATCGAGCATAATCTCGGAATTAATACAAATAACTGCAGATGTATAAGTGAGGCCAATTTCGGATTAGCATAGTTTCATACTGCCATAATCCCGTAATCCACGAGTCCACTTTCATCAAAAATTAATCAATTAAGTAAAATAAATGACTTAAAATACAGTCTGCCATTGATTTGAGATTAAAAAACAAAACAATTAGATATAAAAAATGCATTTTAATCTCTGAGGTTTACTGAACCCACACAGTGAGAAAAAACCTTGTAATCTGTTTACGGCTGTGCAACCATGCCTAGTTAAACTGGGGAGAATAATCTGTAATGACTAAGCTGCTATCGAGCAGCCAGCATCGCTACCAGGCAGCAGAAACTGAGCGAACACTCCCTTTGAGGCTGAGGGAGAGCGTAACACTATACAGGTCGTGTGTCAAGTCAGAACTTGTGCTAATGCTGGACACACTCATCTTCATCTCATCTGAACGCTGTGGTTTCTTACAAATGAACATGGCAGGAGATGTTTCATTTAGCTACGGGCCAACTGAGGTCATGCAAATACTGTACATCACATCCAATATGAAGTCAGCATATCCTGTTCCTGATATGAGCACAGTTACTCATTCAAAGAGGGAGCCTCTATTTGCATTTGTGCAGCAATTCAAATCCTCAGCAAACATGCATACAGTGCACAGCGAAAAGGAAGAGCAATTAGCTACAGTAGGTCACTGTTCCCTGGAGGGACCTGCGACCAGATGGATCACACGGCACTAATGGACGCCAAAAGGGGTGCATCATGGGTCTCAGTCTCCTGGCACAGCTGCTCATTTAGCCAATGAGGAGGAGAAAGGCTGAGGGGGGGTGATGATGCATCAGAGGATCAGGCCTGGATGGGTCCAGCCAGATGCTCGATGGCATGTTTTTGTCGCCTGCGAGCATCGACTGGAGGGCGAGCAGATTTGTGCTGAAGTCATGCCAATGGTAGAAAAAGACACACATCATATAGACTCCACCTGCACTGATGCATGGCCGAGTAGCTGAGCATACATGATGATGCTGATGAGGGGGGGTTAGAATAAAGCTGTGATTACAGAGTCCTGGCCTTTAAAGAGCATATTTTATAACACAAGGATAGAAAGAACATGATGCCATAGTGTGACTGGCCCCACCCCTTCAAGATGCACATCTGATGTGGAGCTACACCACCATGGCATTGCCTCCATCTGCAGCTGGAGGAGATGCAGAGCCCACACATCACTGTATGTTAGAGTAAATGTTAATGTCAAGAGAAACGGTGCAGATCCCAGGTTAACACATGCAGGCCTGGGAGCTCCGCACGGAAATAAAACCGCAGTAAAAGAAAGAAGCCTCGATCCAAATATATATCAATAAATATATATAGGATGTGCTCCATAACGATGTTCATTTCACCGTCTGCAGCATTAACACTCGTCCTAGTGTATTTAAATAGGAGGACAGGCCCCGTGAATGCATGCTACATCACATATTGATCAGGGAAGGCCTTGGCCACATCTTGTTTCAGATGCTCAGCTCCTAAAATGCGGATGTAGCTAAATTAATTTAGTCGAAATGATGCCACGAATAGGCACATCATCACCCAGCCATCTTACCCTCAATAGGCCGGCCTACATCAGCCTGTCACAGCGTTTCATAATGGGTGGCTACCTGTTAATTCTCCCGATGATTTGCTGCTTTTTCCCCCTCTGCCGTTACAAAAAAAACCGAAGGCAGCGTCCCCACAAAAAAAAAATCCGCTGGAGGATTTAGTCTTTTCTGCTCATTAAAAAAAATGAGATCCACTTAAAGCTCCGTGTGTCACGATTAGGCTATTTCCAAATCCTTCAGCGAACAGGCAAACGCAGGAGGGCTACACACATTTCCATTTCTCTGCTGTGGTGGAGCCTGCTGAAAAAAGATGAAATCTGCTGCTGTGTTGCCGTTTCCTCCTCGAAAAGGTTTTTTTTTTTTCACGCCCGATCAGTTAACAAACACATCTTTGTCCAAATGCGACGTAAACAAACACAATTGAGCAACTCGGTCCCCTGGCCCGCATCAAGCACTGTCCATTAAATACTATTCAGTCCGTTTTACTCCGATTCTGCTTCTTGTGACGTTATCCTCGTTTCCTTCCTCTCTTTGGTTTCCTCCTCCCTCTGCCGACACTTCATCAGGACAACCGCCTCCGAGCCTACAATGAATTACTGAGGGAAGATCTGCCTCACATAGGAGAATAACAGCATTAGAAAAGGATAATGGCTGCAAGAAACCATCCCATCAGAAGATCTACTGCATGTATTTTCTGTCAGTAATGAGAGGCATGTCGGTCAGAGATCCACACGGTTCCTGTTTTCTCTCCTCTGAATATCATCATTCAGAAACAGGCAGATCACGCGGTGGGCGATTGCAAAAAAAGGGTTCTCAAATCAGGGCATGAAGCATGTTTCAACCACACCCATCTATTAACAGTGGTGTAGAGTAACTAAGTAGATGTACTCAAGTACTGTACTTAGGTACCATTTTTAGATACTCGTACTTTACTTGAGTATTTCCATTTTATGCTACTTCTACTCCACTACAATTCAGAGGTAAATGGTGTACTTTTACTCCACTACATTTATTTAATACCTTTAGTTGCTTTACAGATTAGGATGATAATGATGTGAAATATAACCAAGTGTTAAATCAGACTTTAGTTCCACCTGGAGTAAATTCACAAGCTACCCTGCAGTATACAAAGTCATTCAAACAAGCTGCAAGGTNATAATGATGTGAAATATAACCAAGTGTTAAATCAGACTTTAGTTCCACCTGGAGTAAATTCACAAGCTACCCTGCAGTATACAAAGTCATTAAAACTAGCTGCACCTTTACCAGCTTTGATAACACTTTAATGATGAATAATTGTAAAACATATATTATTCTGAAATGGACCAATCTGCAGAATGAGGTACTTTAAGTATATTTTGATGCTAATAGCTTAGTACTTTAACATTTTGAATGCAGGTGTTTAACTTGTAACAGAGTATACCTACACCCTGGTACTTCTACTACTCAAGTACAAGATCTGAGTACTTCTCCCATCTCTGGTATCCTCTTCACTTTACAGAATAGAATATATTCAACACTATGGTTACTGCACAGAGTACACGTACTAAGACAACGACATGCAGTAAGCATCTAAACAGAAGTGTGAAAGAAGCAGTAAAGTGCAGTGTTATTCATAGTATAATATAGTACATACGACAGATATAAAGAGTAGTATTTACAGAATGAACAGTACGTATAAAACACAGTAGTATAGAAATTGAATACACTATAGAGCAGGTATAAATATTTAAACAATTATTGACGCGTTTAAATACTATGAATACATATGAGTAAGCTTTAGAAGATATAGTTCAATGGCCTACATCCGGCTTTTCCAGTGATTTTGGAGGTCAAATGAACAAGAGAGCAGAGCATGAACAGGTGACCTGATGTTTGGATCAGGTGACATCTTGCACTTTCTCTACTGTGTACTGAAACTGATTCCCTCAGTGAGTCTCGAGCCTTGGGGAGATTTTTAGATGGGAAGTAATGCATATTAAATGAATTGGATTGGATGTAATTCAGAAATTCACCCAATATTACTGTTATTCTGTTGATCTCTCTATCTCTCCATATCTTTATCTATCTATCTATCTATCTATCTATCTATCTATCTATCTATCTATCTATCTATCTCTCTCTCTCTCTCTCTCTCTCTCTCTCTCTCTCTCTCTCTCTCTCTCTCTCTCTCTCTCTCTCTCTCTCTCTCTCTCTCTCTCTCTCTCTATCTTCTATCTCTCTCTCTCTCTCTCTCTCTCTCTCTCTCTCTCTCTCTCTCTCTCTCTCTCTCTCTCTCATTCTATCTCTCTATCTATCTATCTATCCATCTATCTGTCTGTGAATCTCACTTTGTTATTGTAAAATATTCTAAACAAAAAATTCAAATCTAATATTTATTGTGTTAAGTTGCACCAGTCAAGATAGTAGACAGGCACGTTATTAACCTGACACTGTATTTCTCTATGCAAATGTTTGGGCCCAGAGTATATTGCACTTTTGCATGTGTAGCATTGGCCTTATAGCGTTACAGAGTAATGGAAACCATTTGCCGCAGAGCTTGCAAAGTAAAATTGTGGAGATGCTAACCAACAATTGGTAAACTGATAAGTAAATAGAACCTGCCCTCCTTAACCTCACACATTAATATCATACTCCCTATATCATGCCCTTGTTTATGATTTAGTTCTGTGTGTTTTCCTGGAGCAGAATGGATGCAGGCTTACACAGACTTCAAATTGTTTGCACATAAAACAACATTTCCCACATTTTACCATTGTACACTATCATGCGTACCATTGTATACCATAGTATTACCATGGTAACTCAGAAATTGGAAAATTCTGCAGTACTTCAGATCGTATTACCATTGTATGTTATATTATGTTTCAATTCAACATGTTAAATTATACAAATAAATCAAGTTAGTATTCTTCATTTGCCTCAGTCCAGTATTTTATTTGATGTACCATTGCATTCTACAGTATCTACTGTTACACGTACAAGTACCATGGTATTTTTGACAATGCTATGGTATTTATAAAACATTTTAGTAGTATCATGGTGCATATGGCATATTTGATAGGACCACGGTATATTTGACAGTACCATGGTGTATCCACAGTATATTTGATAGGTCCTGTTCCATAGCACATACTGTTTCCTGATGTGGTGGATCATCAATAGATCAATCAAAGTCTATTTATATAGCCCAACATGTCACACCGTACAAGGAAACCCTCCCAAAGACAGATCACAGTTAATGGACGAAGATTGAAGAAACCTTGGAGGGAGCAACAGAGGAGGATCCCTCTCCCAGGACGGACAGACGTGCAATAGATGTTGTGTGTACATTAAAAAGATAACACATTTACAACATAGGTAGTCCAAATGCTTGACAATGCAAGTGTCTTTACTGTAAATAAGAAGAAGACGAATCCAGTTGGATGTCAACAAAGAAGTAGTAACCACAGCAACAGGCAAGTCATTTACCATAGTTCATACCATGATGTGTATGGTACTATCAAAACTACAGAGGTACTTGTTCCATGTAACATTTCTTATGGATGTAACCCTCACTTGTCATCTCAGGTCCTGTTATATTCTGATCCTCTTCCTATGGACGTCATCTCTCGTCAGTAGTGCCCCCTGCTGTGAAGAAGAGCCATTACAGTCAGCCCACAGTATTTCAACGCCTTGATGCTCACATACAGTTGGTGTACATGTTTTTTCTAAGTGCGTACATCAGACTTAACAACTTGTAAAACCACTTAATGAGCACTTATTGGAAGTCATCAATACATTTGTGATGTGACAATTTATTTAAACATAATGGGCGTGGTTATTTCAAACAAGCAGTACCAGTTGATGTTTTTGCCCTCCCCTTTTGGCAGTCACATGGTTCAGCTTCTGGTCTCCCGTGACACTTTTGAACAAATAATAAGGGGACGAGGCGTGCCATGTCTTCTGTGTTGTTATTGGGCAGCACATCTTTCACAGTATAACTCCCGGACAGCTCAGTCCTGTCATGTCCACCGGCCTGCTCTGGTCACATCTGACCGTCCACTGCGCATCTGACCCGGGACAGAGACTACCAGAGACATAGGGAGGAGAACCAGAGGGAGGGAGCCCCAACAAGAAGCAGGAAGTGTGTGAAACTGTGAGGGGAGGTAAGTTTCACTGTCCTCGGTGTTTCAGCGGATACACGGTGCGTCTGGTGCTAAATGTCCTGGATGTTGCTTTATGAATGACACCCTGCACGAGCACTTCACATCGGCTGTGTAGTTTTATGACTGGCACCCCTTCCTGACCGAGAGCCTAAAACGTAAACAAACATTTACCCAAGATGCAACCGCGACTGTTGTGGCGTATTATTAATTCACATTTGTACCACTTCTGTATCGTTTAAAGATGTAAAGTTGTAATGCCGCAGTTGCTCCACCCTGATGCTACGTAAAAGTGACGGAATCGGTGATTTATTTTGGTAACTGACTTGTTTCAAAAGTGGGGTGCGTGGACAATGAAAGGGCCTTATTATTTAGATTTAGGACGTCTGAATTAACACAAGAGAAATCAGCTCAGTGCAGCATGAATAGCATGTGCAACTTAAAGCATCACTGTCAATAAAAGGAACTAACAACACTATCGTGGATGTAGATCAATGTGTACACAGTTGTCATATACAACATCCCCTTTTTAAAACACTGAAAATGCACTTACCCATAATGGGGTAAAGTGTTTTAATTTTACTCCAGACGTGTTAATGTGCAACTAGGGAAAAAATACAGAACAGCCAATCCATTGAAAGATTATAAGTATACTTTTGGTGACCCAGTGGTGGATAGAAATGCATATTTCTACAGTATTTTATGGATATTTTCATACATCTTGAAGATTATTTATTATAGTCAATGAAATGCCCCTCCAGTTCCTTATCCAACCAAAAGTCTAGCACAATGTCATTAAAAGCAAAACATTGACACTTCTGAGCATCTTAAGTTTTTGGCATTTTTGCACTAAAGGACTTATATTTACAGATATTTGCTACAAATGATGTGAAAATGGTTTAATTACATGAGTGTGTGATCCATGTGATAATTATGATGTTATGCTCCTTCATGAAAAATCATGTTTTAAAACCTTTGTCTGAGTTCAAGTTTCCCCATCATGTGATTCATGCAGCTAATTACACAGTTGACTTTGTCAACAGCTTCAGTTATGAAGTCTCCTTGAGAAAAGAATGACAAAGTCACATCTTAAAGAGAAGGAAACAGCCCAGGTCACCTGGGCACAGCGGGGCATGCTCAGGCTGCTCAGCTGGGATGTGCACATGTAAAATCAGACAAGCAGCTGTGAATCAGGTGACTGCAAATACCAGCCTGAGGTGTGAGCTGCAGCTTTATTAAGAAGAGCGACTCGCAAACATCACTCACACGCTTTCTCTGGTTTCTTTTTTGTATTTTTCGCAGTAAGGTGGTGCGAAAAAGGGAAGTTCCTAACTGAATAGGTTACAGTAAAAGGATCATTCCAGAATTGGAGGACATTTCATGTCCCACATATACAGAAAATCAAATAATCCATGCCCAAAAAGCTAAAACATGCACTTGTTGTGTTTAATATACTTGTCTTGAGACAAGATGCATATAAAGTTGTAGAAAAAGTGGTTTAAAAATATTATTTAAAATATCAAATAGCTCTCGAACATCCCCTAAAATGGCCTTTTTCTCTTGTCCCAGCTTCTTGGTGAACAACTTGCATGTCAAATATAACATTTAAAATAGGGTTTTTATTTACTTGTGTTGTTATTATAACAACACAAGTAAATAAAAACCCTATTTTAAATGTTATATTTGACATGCAAGTTGTTCACCAAGAAGCTGGGACAAGAGAAAAAGGCCATTTTAGGNTAATATGACTTGATCGCTTTAAACTCCGCACACTGAGCTCTGATTGGTCAGCAGGCAGTGCTTTCACTGAGTTGAGCTCTTAGTCTGCAACTAGTCTGCAACCTAACCTGCTCCCGGGCAGGTTAGCTGCACAGCATAAGTTACCATGGAGATCTAGCCTGCTAAAAAGAGAACCAGCGTCATAGGACCGGAAAGCCCGAGCTTTCCCTGAAGTTAGCCGGCTAAGCGAAACTCCAGCTTCGTAGTACAGGCCTCTGGACAACTTAACCAGGGGCGCAGGTGAGAACTGTTTCAAGATCAAATATAATACAATGTACGTATGTATATGGATTAACACATGAATTGGTATTTACCTTTGAGTGCAAGAAGGATCATTTATTAAGGCGTTTGAGGAAATAAAAATGTAGACAATAAGTAAAAGTAACCTATATATTACATTACACGCATATTACAACGACTATGTGAACAAATATATATTGAACATTTTTTTTACAAAAAAATCAAAACATATATATATATATATATACGTATCCCCCCCCACTATCTGCACCCCTGCACTTACCTAACATGTTTTGTAGCCTGACCTTCCTCTTTCTGTATGCGTTTCTGTATACGTTCATAAATAAAAACTTTAATAACTAAATAAAAAAACTACACAGCAGGTCACATGAACTCACCTGTGCGAGTCCCCAGGTGTACAACACGGCCACCCAGGGATTTCCAGAGCTCGATGTGATGGTAGCTGGAGCTAAAGGCAGACCTGAGAGGGAAATAATCAGCTGTTAGAAGACTGGAGAAGATGGATATTGTGACGGCCCTCTAGGCCTCAGACCCAATTCCCTGGTTAGCCATTTTGGTTGACTGCTCAGCTACAAGTAAGTCTCTGCTCTTGGGTTGCTTGGCTCTACTGGATCTAGGTTTGTTTGTCTTTGCTTTATATACTGATGCAGTGTGTAGTACACACCCACACACATTACTGATTAACTGACTTCATAGTTAACTTAGTTTCTTTAAATTAATGTACTTTAATTGGATATGAATCATGTGTGGTCTCCTTCTTTTGTCCGTCCTTGAGCCAGGGTGTGACAAAATCAGTTTAGGAAAATATGGATACATTTCCCAATCGTTCCTGATTAAACTTTTGCACTTTTGAGGGGTCCCAACACTGGACGGGTTGTCACGGGGAAGAGGTGCTGCCATACTGACATTTATTGTTTATTATTGACATTTTTGTTTTAGCTGACTATTTTCTTTTTATTTCTTTATTTTTTTGTTTGTCTGTTTGTTTGTCTTCTGTCTGTGTGGGATTGTGTTTACCCTGGTGTTAAGCAGTATTCACATTGTTACTCCACCTATTTTTCTATAAAGTGAAGATGTGTTTACCTACTTTTGATACATGCTCTGATGGAACAACTGTATGCTGTTGAAAAAACCCAATAAACAAAGTGAAAAAAACGTATATATAGAACTCAGTCAAATCTGAAAGGCCAACCCTCTTGAATCCTTCAAAAATAAATCTCTCAAAACTCACTTATTCACCCTAGCTGATCAACAACCCACTTTACTCGCACTTGGATTTGGACTACTGTTTGTTTGTACTGTTTCTGATTTTATGTAAAGTGTCTTTGAGCACCAGGAAAAGCGCTTTAAAAATCAAATGTAGTATTATTATAATAATAATAATAATAATAATATATACAGTACCACCTCTGCACAACACAACTGATGGTCTCAAACACATTAAGAGTAATTCCACAAATGGACTCTTGACAAGGCACACGTGTTCATTGAAAACCATTCCAGGTGACGACCTCATGAAGCTGACTGAGAGAAGCCAAGAGTGTGCAAAGCTGTCATCAAGGCAAACGGGACAACTTTGAAGAATCTAAAATAAAAATCATATTCTGGATTTTTTAACACTTTTTTTACTAGATAATTCCAAAGGTGTTCTTTTATAGTTTTGATGTCTTCAGTATTAATCTACAATATAGAACAAAATGAAATAAAATAGAGATGTGAAGGTGTGTCCAAACTGGAAGTATATACAGTATGGTGAGAAACACCTACCAAAGAGCTGATCCAGAGCGAGAGCGTGGAGGATGCGGGACGCCCCGATCATGGAGCACATCGCCGCTGAAAGAGAGGCGCAGTATATCCCAACGGTGACTAACGGAGACCAGATGCTAATCCTCTGGAGGAACCCATAATCCTGGATCAGCAGGGTCCTAAAGAGGAAACAAACGTCTGCTTATTTGATTGTTGACCTCTTTTTAATGCATCAGATTTAGGAGTAACGGATTACATGCAACGGTATTAAGGTTACAGAAAAAAAGCTACATTAGAAAATACATAATCAGATAATTTATATTTCAAAGAAATTGGGGATTACTAGCCGGACTACAAACTAAAAATAGCATGTAGTGTTAGTTGTAAAAGGAGCATTGTATTTCTCCTTTGTTAGCTGTACTGTTCAGTAGGGTAATATTTGAAGTGTGAATATATACGCCTACTGCCTGAATCTGCTATATGTTTTTTTCTTTGGTTCATTTGTTCTGTTTATTATTCAGTGAGCTTGTGTATTAAACCAAAACGTAGAATTTTCTGTCAGCTCAGATTTTATTTCTGCTTTTTTAAACTGTAGTATGTGCTCATGTGTTTCATTGTTGGTGTGTCGGCTTCTGCCTGAATATGCTGAGTGAAAGGCAGGTTTTCCTATAAATACAATTATTTTTGATTCTTGGTTTCTTCTTTTCTAAGGTCACATTGCTCTGTTGTCTTACCTAACATACTTAAGTAAAAAAAATCACGTAATTGTAATGGAGTATATTTAAAAACGTACCCTCCCCAACCCAGTTCAGACATTATTATGAAGCACTTCTGACCTGTCACAGGTGGCGCCCACCAGGAGGAAGAGGAGGACGTAGACTACGAAGGTGTAGAAGACGGCCACGATGGTGCCTTTAGGGATGGAGATACTCGGAGTCTTCAGGTCTCCTACAGAAAAACATGCAGAGTGAGAACAAACATCAGGGTTTGCACGATAGTGTGTGCAATGCGTAGTTACTGAGTTGTGATTGTGGTAGACATATTGATTTTTATGTTTTTTTTTTTAATGGTCTTGGCCCTCATTTATCTGATATGCTTTTAACATTTGAACCCTCTAGTACCCCCAGGTCTTTATGTACTGGCCTTTTAATTATATTTTGAAACAACAGAGGGAGGTTAGAGTTGTTGTTGTTTATTAATAGTTTATGTTTCTGGTTTGTGAAGCACTTTGTTTCAGCTTTTGTGAATAAAAAGTGTAACTTTTCTGCATGATCCTGTTTGTCAATTGACAAGTCAAATTATTGCAGCTCTACATATAATTCTAAAAGATAAAAGAAGCGTTTCGATAATGGAAAAAAACTCCAGCTAAAAATTCCACCTGGGGCATTTGCAGCGTTCATTCTCCAATGTGATTAAACTTCGAAAATAACACCAAGCTTATACCTGACATGTTGGCTCCGGCCATAATCCCGGTGCAGCAGGTGAACATGACGGCAAACACGGTGGAAAAGGACATGACAGAGTTGGTGCTGTAGTCCAAAGAGTAACCAGCTGCAGTCGGGAACAAAAAGAGGAACAACAGAGAAACCTTTAATAGGTGCTTCTAAATGTAGCTTCAGTTGTGTTTGTAGTTTCACATCCTTAAAACCCACATGTATGTAGTGTTTCATTTTTCTCTTTTATCCTTTCGCCTGTATCTACTTGTCTTTCATCCTTTCTTTATAACTAATGCTGTTGATGTATTGTGATTTTAAAAAGGTGTCTGTTACCGTCTGGCCGGGGAAAACAGCTGGAAATGTGCAATGTCGGCTAAAGCTGCCCTATTTATTGTTCTTTGTTGATCAATGGGGACTGTCCACGACACTATAAACAACTAAACTAAACATCACGGTCCGACACTCACAGCCCAGGTTGTTCCTCAGAGTGGTGACGCTGAAGCCCGTGTAGCTGGCGTTGTATCGGAGGGTCTCGTTGCCCGATCCCTTGTGAGTGATGATGATATCATGAGGTTTGACCGCCACAGAACTGATGAAAATGGACAGCAAGGACACGGTGACCAAGATCAGGATGACGAAGGAGGTGCGGGAGTAGATTTTGGCGCCAACCAGACACACGAGCAGACACAGCAGAAGAACCACTGAGGAGTACAGCACTCCATACCAGTAACCCTGAGGAAGCACCCGCACCCCCTGAGACACCGACGACTCTATAACACAGGGAGAAGACCAACTGAGAGTACTCACATTAAAAAGCAAGTCATAAAAGGAAAAAGGTGGAGGAACAGAACCAAAAACATACCAGGATCAGAGCCGAATATGTCAAGTATCGCCTCCACAAGGCCAAGAACGTATTCTCCACACGCACACACTTTGGCCAAGAAGAACATCAATCCGATGCTTCCTCCAAACTCCGGGCCCAGAGAGCGACTTATCATATCTGAGCACATTTAGTTAAGGTTGATGTTGTTATGACATGTTATGCTAATTTTCAGGTTCATATTTTTATTCTGTGTCTCTTCTGTGACATGTCTCCATGCTGCAGCACCTCTTTTCACCCTCTGTCTGAAACCAGAGCCCAGTCTGCTCTGATTGGTTAGCTGGCCGGCTCTGTTGGGATTGGTCAACCTTTTAGTAATGTCCTGCCCTTTAGCCTATCACGTACGATGTGTTTAAGCGCTTGCCAGTAGAAGCACGTTACTATGCGAGGTCACTATGTGCGGTTACTATGTTATGGAAGTAAACAAAGGAGCCCAATCGAGTCGTTTCAGGCAGCTATGGAACTTTGGGATTTCAGCCTTTGCCGACCATTTACATCCACACAAACCTATATAACACCCTACAGGAAAGGGAAAAGCCCAAAATGCATAATAAGGCCCTTTTAAGATTGATGTTTCACCTGAAATAAGTGAATCTGTTGGAAAAACATAACTAACACTCTTGAAAAAGCAACCGTTGGGTCTCTAAGGATACAGTAGGCACCACCACCTTGTATAGCGCCGTTGGTGGAAATGGCACAGATGGACAGTATTGTGAGAGATACGATCGTGTACGCCACAATCACCATTAATAGACCCTGCAACAGCCCCGCGTGACCGACCACGAACCCTGCAGGAGAGATCACATCAGCGTTAGTCACCACTGTACAGCACAATGACTCAGTTATATTGTGAGGGACTCATACAAACACCCACTGTCTACCACCCAAAACTGCTTTTTCAGATCTCTGCACACACACGCATGATCGCTCACCGGTTCTCAGGAACAGCACGATACTGAACATGGAGAGGATGGTCGGCACCATCACACCGAAAAAGGTGTTCAGTTTCCGCGGGTCTACTGTTGGCGTGCCAGAGTCGGATTCAGGGGTCGCGTCCGACTTCCCGCCGCATGCGGTCACCGCCAGACCGCAGACCCCCGAGGTCATCAGGGGGGTGCGTTCGTTTGACATGGTTGAGATGAGACTGCTTACCCTGTTACAAGTAAATGAATGAGGACCGGTTTTAAACAGATGTGACTCAACTCTTCAAAGGCTAAGAATCTAACATGCTTGTTTTTCACATCACTGGACGGAAGAATTATCCTAAAACTTCTGTAAAATCACTTCATTACACGAAGGAAAAGACACCCAGACAATTTTATTATTATTATTATTAGACATATTTATGTTATTACATAATTATTACGTTTTTTGTAAGATGTGTATCTTATTTCATATCTATACTGTATTAGCACCAATTGAAGTTATTGCCTGTAACATTTTGCCTTGAAAGTTTGTAAATGAAAGTTTGAAAAAAGGCCCCAGAAGAAAATGTATTACATAATGAATCTCCCATGCCCAGGTCTCCTTTTCCCCTTATGGACAAAGTGAGACCATTTATTAGTCTCACAGAAAAGTATGTAAGTGTTACAAATAATCCTCAATGTATTTGTTTCTGTTTCAATTCAAATGTAGCAACAAGCCACAAAGAGACCCGTTTGCTTTCTCACCCAAAGTTATGTTTTTAACCTTTACAGCACGCTACTGTATAATTGGAGATAATCATATGCACTCCCTCATGAAAGCTTCCACCTTCATGTAAAACAAAGTGCTTATTTTTAAAGAAGACATTTTATGCTAATTTCCAGGTTCATATTATTATTTAGTGTCTCTAATGTGACATGTTTCCATGTTTTAATGTTCAAAAAGCTCTTTGTTTTTCTCATACTGTCTGTGCTGCAGCACCTCTTTTCACCCTCTGTCTGAAACCAGAGCCCATTCTGCTCTGATTGGTTAGCTGGACGGCTCTGTTGTGATTGGCCATTCGCTTAGAGATTTCGAGAACCTTAGCCTCACGTACAGTGTGTTGGAGCCCTAGCCAATAGAAGCGCCACTGTTACATATTGATGTCATTATGTTACGGATGGAAGCAAGGGAGTCAAATGAAAGTCTTTTAAG